AATGTATTCAACATCAATGTATTCAACACCATGGAAAACTATGGAACTGTCACTGTAAACAGCTGGGTTAAACAACTGATGATTCAATGTATTCAACACCATGAAAAACTATGGAACTGTCACTGTAAACAGCTGGGTTAAACAACTGATGATTTAATGGATTCAACACCATGGAAAACTATGGAACTGTCACTGTAAACAGCTGCGTTAAACAACTTATGATTCAATGTATTCAACACCATGTAAAACTATGGAACTGTCACTGTAAACAGCAGGGTTAAATAACTGATTATTCAATGTATTCAACACCATGTAAAACTCACAGTAAACAGCTGGATTAAACAAATGATGATTTAATGTATTCTAATCGTTATAAAGTTTAGTTTTGTTGTATGTTGATTTAAGTTCACTTTTTTCTATTGGAGTGATTTCATTAGTTTCTAAGTTACTTCTTAGTTCTGATCCGAAAATATCGCTAACACCGAGCGTACTCATCTGATGGAACAATGCATTCTAATAATTATAAATAAGAACTTGAGAAAAGTATACTTAATTAGCTATAGTCATGACCGGATTGATATTTAGTTAAGATCTATGTTGATAGCTTGCTTTAATCAGAAGTTAATATCAATGAATACAGTTTTATGGAAATATTGTATTGCAATTCATGCATGAATAAAAGATTCATGCGCAGAAATAGCCTTTCTGTGTACAGTCTATTTAAGTTATCTAGGTATATGTCTGTTTCGAAATTAGAATAAAGTTTACTAAATAACTATATATGTCTGATGAAATTTCGACGAATTTAAAACACGTTGTTGTGCCGTTTAATCTGTAGTGAGTTGTAATTCATAATCTGTGGTAACTTGGTATACAGTTTTATAGTAACCACCCAAATGTTTTATTTAATCGAATATATAAACTCGTTTATTTTATTTCATTGAAAGATATGCAAGGTTCTAAAAACGAGAGTTCAAGAGGAAATTTTCACAGTATCCAGGTGATGTTAGGCCTTCAGGAAGCTACTGACCTCAGCCAGTCACAAATTGGAATGAACAATATCAACACCATGGGCTTTCCATTGACCAGTCAAATAGCAACAACTTCGGTTAATGCTAATCTGGCGAACTCAGTGCGCGTCCGAGATTCGATGACAGGCAATGTCCATACTAATAACACCCTGAACCCAAATTCTGTTGGTAAGAATTCTACATTCTTTATTATCAATCAGAAATTACTTATTCCAGTTGAATGTATTAGATCTTAAAATATGTTGCTAAGAATTACGACTAAACGTTAAAACATTTGTTATTCTAAACTATATCATTGTAAGCTTGTTATCTATATGATGTCGATTCACTAACGAAAACGTGCATGTTAACAAAGTCTTGGAATATTTTTTCACAGCTGAAAATCTACTTAAATATTTCTGCTAGAAATTTTCAGGTTAGTCGTCAGAAAAATAACAAAATATCTAAAAGCTGATTTGTTATTTTCATATAGTTTATCGGAACGCCCTCTATAAGGAACACTTCTCTTCTGTTCCAGCTGACTCCACAAAATCTAAGTCAACGGAGAAGAGACAAGAGACAGGAAACAATGCTGAAAAGCCAGCCAAGAAGAAGAAAACTAGGTAAGCATTGAAATTAATTATGTGTGTGTGATACTAACAGATATGCGTTTTATAGTAAAATATTTAGTTTCAAACTTCTTCGGTGATTGATTTCTAGAAAGTTTGTTTAGACTGAGCTTCAATCGTGCAATTTAGAGTAACTTCAGTAAAAAAGTAAAAGATAATTGAACAGAACGCAGTTAGTTTGCTGGAAACATGTGATCCTATAAAACTGCCAGTTGCGTAAAACTCAATTACTTACAGGTGAAAATACATCAACAGGTATTCTAATATCAAATATCAGGTTTTCATACTTGGTTTATGTTCAATAATATTGTTAATGATAACTAATTACTAGTTAATGATAACTAAGGTGATGTGTTATAAATTAAACTTGTTTCCAAAGAATTGAGGAGGAGGAAGAATGCTATTGGATACGTAATATATAACCGAAAACATGCTCTATTTACCATGTTTAGAAATTACCGAAGAAATTGGGAATTTTTCAATTCGTACTTAAAGTTAAATGAAATACAGGAACTATAAACACTTTTTTACATTATTAAATAAACTTGAATTTTAAATTATCACAATTTATTTTTAAACAGAACAACTTTTACTGCATTTCAACTTGAAGAACTTGAAAGGGCTTTCCAGAGGGCGCCCTATCCAGACGTGTTTGCACGTGAAGAGCTTGCCCTTAGGCTAAACCTTAGTGAATCACGCGTACAGGTAAGTAAATAGTTAGAAAGTTTATCAAAGTTTTTATTCTGTCCAAAAGAATATATATTGGTATTTTGTTTTGTTTATATGTCATAATTCTGACAGAGTATTATGTAACTTATTACACAAATAAAAACCAAGCGTGGCCTAGTGGTTAGTGGTAGGACTGTGAATCCAATGGTCTGTGGCTCGCGTCTCCTTGTCGAAAAAAATAGATCTGCACTCTGGAGCCGTGTGTGCGTTATAAGAGTGACGGTAAAATGCCACTATTTCATTAGAGTAGCCCGAGAGTTGACGGTGTTTTTTGTTGACTACCTACCTTCTCTCTTTCTATCAGTTAGAAATTAGGGACGGCTAGCACAGACAGCCATTGTGTAACTTTGTGGGAATATCCGAAATAAACATATCTAGTTCTTTATCTTATTGTCACAATAAAAATATTTTTCTCCTTTTGTGTCAGTATAGTTTTCTTTTCTGGATTTAAGTGATAAATTCATTTTTAGAAGCATAAAGCGAGTATAGTTTTTCTTACCGAACATATCTAAGTTATTTACAAATTAATACATTGATATTCCTCCGAGTTGAGTGTAATTTAAACATAAATTTATTTGTTTGACATATTACTATACGATTCAAATATCTGAATTAAATCCCAAGAAAAGTAATTTCTAAGCCGTGTGATTTATTTCATGATTTAACTTACAGCGAAACTAAATAAAAGTTTGTTTGGTAGTATATTTGGTAATTGAATAGTTCATGTGTATTTCTTGTATAAATAAATAAAAGTTTGTTCGGTAGTATATTTGGTAATTGAATAGTTCATGTGTATTTCTTGTATAAATAAATAAAAGTTTGTTTGGTAGTATATTTGGTAATTGAATAGTTCATGTGTATTTCTTGTATAAATAAATAAAAGTTCGTTCGGTAGTATATTTGGTAATTGAATAGTTCATGTGTATTTCTTGTATAAATAAATAAAAGTTTGTTTGGTAGTATATTTGGTAATTGAATAGTTCATGTGTATTTCTACAGGTTTGGTTTCAGAACAGACGCGCCAAGTGGAGGAAAAGGGAACCACCACGTAAAACAAACTACTTGCAAACTGGTAAGTAATTACAAAAACATTAGTTCTTACGTAGTGCTCGTATGGTATATTACAAAGAATTATTTTTATTAAACACTTTCTGAAGTGAGATTTGTAGTTTTATAAGAATAATTCTGAAGAAGGCACAAGTAATGTGAGTACACCAGTAAACGCTGTTTGTTATTGTTGTATTTCATATATATCATCCTGCACTACACTACAGGGGGTTTGAGTACATTATAACAAAACGATTTAGAACATACAAATTAATAAGTCACATGACAGCCACAGTGGCAGTTAGTGTGATGTCATTGTAAATTGATTGCATTTGGGAAGGATTTGTAACATCTGACAAAAAATATTCATAAACTCAGATCATAAATATGTGTTCAGATGGAGGATTTAGAACTTCAAAGACGAAAATATACTTTGTACAAAGTTTGCAAGGACAAAATAGTCTTACAGCATAGCCTTTTGAAAGAAAAGCTTTGCTGCAAGTTTATTGTCAAAACGCACGCTAACCAGATAGAGCAAGACCAGACGTGGCGACATGGAATATCTAATGACGTTGTGAAACTCCAAAATCGTTTTAACACAAAGCATTCAACATCTGTCTTGTCAGTTCGTAATAAAAAACTGCTAAACAGTTTAAATTTTGACGTATCAATAGTATGTGGATTCTTTCGTGTATACGGTTTGAAATCTTTACCGCCTGATGGGCGTGTTCTGAGATGAAATCTAAGATTACATTTTTCCAATCTCTCTCATATAAATGTTACCATATGTTCAAAATACCATTTTATCAAGTTGTTTCTTTCGCTAATCGTTTTCGAGATTGTTCGACACACATTTTAAAACTCTATACAACAGTATTGATGGATAGAGCTATTATGACTGGTGTTCTTTTTTTTTCGTTTTTTCTTAAATTACGGTTTCTCTTTTCGTTTATAACTTAATAAAGTACAAGAATGCTATGAATAATTGGAAACTAAATGTCTTGATTTTAAACTGTAAATATTCTAAACAACGTTATGCATTGGTAGTCCGTTTTGGATAACTCTCAGTCAAAAGCTGTTAATGCATTTAACTTGTTTAAATGTTCAATATATATCTATAGAATTATGTAAAGTGATTATAGTCGTAATGAAATAAAAGTGAACATTTTTCATCAACCCTATGTTTCACCTTGTATTATACGTAAAGGGTATTGTTATGTTACTGCATGATGTTAAAGTTTGTATGTAACTTACAAACAATAAATCAGCGAGTTCATCATTGTGAATTCATCGATTTATACTCATGTTTATCTGTATTTTATAGGCTCTACTTCAACGTTTGGAAAAACATATCCGACAACAACGCCCTCTCTCCCGCCCTTAAATAATAATGTTATTGATACTTGGGGATTCGGAACATCTCCGTACGACTTCACTTTCCAAGCACCTTTTTCTGCTGCTCCGTACACCGGGTTTTCAAACAACCCTCATACAAACCTACCTTCTAACGCTACCAGTGCAAGTTATTACAACACAATGCTGCAAACGCAATCTATGAATATGGCAGACGCTTTATTACCAAATTACCGTTCGTCTCCCACATCGGACATACAACAGAAAACGCTTATTTCTCCTTCTAACCCAGGATCACTGTCCACATCCCCAGATAAAAAAAACATGGTCTTAGACCCATCAGAAAACTTGGTCTCGGACCCACAGCGCTTGACATCTCTGTCTCATTTATTATTAAAGACAAAAGACAATGCTGTTTCACCTTTACCCTCTTTGGATTTCTTTGCCTAACAGAAATTGACTGCAGTTTGTAGTTTACAACTACAGATATATTTCCTCATCTATGAAAGAAATTTCCATGTTTTAGTCCTTTTACTTCATTTTTTATAATACGTTTGTAGTGCAATTACCCATATTTTTATTGTTTTGATAAATTTTGATATTCATTATTCTATATTTTAAGGAGGAAACAACAACAACAACATATATTCTAGTCGTACAGTTATTTTATACTGAATTTTGTGCTTTGAATCTTTACAAAAAATGCTTGTTTTTACTGAATGTGGTCTATGGTTTATATATATATAATCAACTTCATTTAGCACATGCAAATATGGTGGCAAATTCACCACAAGTGCCTTAAACCTCAACCTTATATATATATATACACGTGTGTGTGTGTCATTATTACTTTGATAGACAAAGCCTGATGGGATCGTGCATAGGGTTCTCATTGTCTCTGTGTGTTTGTAAATTGAATACATCAATATGCATTATTGTCATTTTATAGCCATATGCAAAACATTAAAAATAATATCAAAACATTCATTATACTCGGTTTTATAAATATTTATTTCTGTGTTATCCCATAGACATACAGTATGTTTTATTTTATCATAAACTTTAGTTATATAATATTCTTTAAAGTTTTTATTGTGTCAGACGGTGCCAAACTATACAGTCTAAAATATCTTCCAAAGTCATAATATAACGTTGTGTTATACAATATATCACCTTGATAACTTCACTGTTATTTTTATGTTTAAAATAAAAGCACAAGACTCTGTGTGTGTAGTGTTTTAAGCGTTAATTGGTATATATATATTTTCATTTCTACTATATATTTGTAATCCGATATTCAAACTTGTACAATTATGTGTAATTTTATTCACTGTCCAGCTTACCTAGAAGTTGTATGCCTTTTTTGTATGAGTAGTCATTGAGTTAAACGGAACAAGGTTAATTAGTATATCATTCGAAATGTGTTTGGTGTGTGTATGTTCCATTTTAATGTCATTTACAGTTATGTAGAATTTATAATATGGCTTTCAGCTTATGCTGTTTTGCACAATAATCTGTTGTTTATGTATGGGATCGTGAATCAATAAAAAGCTAACATTGTGTGTGTATATGTGTATTTTGTTGCTTTTTTGTATATTTATGTTTCAAAGCGATTAAATGAAAATGTATTTTAATGTCGTACCTACTTCACAAATTAAATTATTATTATTTTACGAAAAAACCCACATATGTAACATTTTGGTGAGGGGCTCTAACGAATACAAGAGGGAAAATTTTCTTCAGTACGCAAAAATAGTCAGCCATGTGGTCATTCTCTCAGCTCCCAGATTAAACTTAGTGACCAAGATAACCAACAATAAGGAGGATTATTACAAAGTTTAAGGCTCATGTCTTCCTTTAATCACTAGCAATTAACTTGCGACCATTTTGTTGGAACAACAACGCTTCCTCTTCAAGTTGATTGTTGTTGGATCTTATTGGCATTCCTTGAAAAGAACAGGAAGAAAATTCGTTACTTCCAGAAAGATTATATTAATTGTAGTGATTCTAACTAGCTAATGTATATCTTAATAAAGTAGAACAAATCTGTAAATAAATTGAAATGCGGTCTGACATGGCCAAGTGGTTTGGGTGTTCGACTCGCAATCTGTGGGTCGCGGGTTCGAATCCCCGTCTCACCAAACATGCTCGCCCTTTCAGCCGTGGGGGCGTTATTACGTGACGGTCAATCTCACTATTCTTTGGTAAAAGAGGAGCCCAAGAGTTGACGGTGGGTGGTGATGACTATCTGCCTTCCCTCTAGTCTTACACTGCTAAATTAGGGACGACTAGCGCAGATAGCCCTCGTGTAGCTTTGCGCGAAATTCAAAACAAATAAACAATAAGTTGAAACTAAATTTCTTGATTTTAAATTGTCAGCTAGAAACAGTGTTATGTTGTGTTTAATAAAAACAAAACACAAAACAACTGTGAGTTATGTACACAATTTATAATCGCCTTAACTCTAAATACATGACAGAATAATAATCAAAAAGTTTATTTATTTTATTCGTAGCTCTACCAGGGATGCCTTTCTTTCTACATACTGTTTCAAGTCGATACTGCTACAAGTTAAATCAACCTGAAGATTATCTAGCTTATTGGACTAATATGACTTGTGTGTATATGATTAAACTGTAATTTCTTAAATGAATATTTAAATCCGAATTAACTGGATTCACTTTCTAGTCGCCACGCGATTTCACGAGTCTGAAAATAATTGATAAAGCTCGTTTGCTATTTTTGTTAAATATATTTTAATGCATGAACTTGATATATGTATTCAAAATCAACATCTTTCAATGTTAAAAAGTGAAGCAGATTTAAGAAGCATTGGTTCTTAAATAATAACGTGCAAATTGGACTAAATATAACATCCTTATTCCGTATTTAAAATTATCGTCAATATGAAAGTTCTGTTTCAAAGCTAAATTAATAACAACATTTCATATATAATTTGTTTAGGAACCAGAAAAGCGAGACTATTTAAGTGTTGGTATTAATAATATAATTTTTAATAAACTTTGACATAGCATTGAATCTAAAAAATAATAAAATTTCTTTAAAAATACGTGTAATAAAATGTAAAAGAAAGTCCTTTACGTAGTGAAAAATGATATCATGTGGTTAAAAATAATTTTATTTTAAGTGCCTGTTCAAACGTAGTCCAACTGTACACGTTAAACATTTGTAAATATCTCCAGTAAAAGTACTTAGAAATAAAATGTTTCCATCTTAGAACACAATAAACCTTATTAACACAATATACTTTATTAGTTCAGATGAGTGCCTGGCGTGGCCAGGTGGTTAGGGCGCTCGACTCGTAATCTGCAAGTCGCGGGGTCGAATTCCCGTAACGTCCGGACTAGGACGCTAATCCTACTCCCGGATACACACCTCCAGAATAATTTGGAGGTGTGAGAAACACCATAAGAAACTGATACTTGAGATGAAGTTGCAAAATTATGGTTTTTAACTTTTCCTAAACATAGTAGCAAACATAACTATATCACCCTTAATGTTATGGGTTATTCTATGGAAAAATGTGGTCATTATGTCTTTAATAAGAAAAAACAAACTATTTGTTATGTATACAGTTTATAGTTTTTCTAGCATGACAGAGATGGACACTGTCTTGCAATGACAAATTAACAATTGAAGCATTTTTTTCGCAGTTCTGCCAGAATTACTTCGGTTTCTATATATTGTGGGAAAAATAATAATTTTTAAGTTTATATGCTAAAAGGTCATCAGCTTTTCCTGATTTATAATAACGCGACATAAATCTTGGATCCACATCCCTTTGGATGACATTCAGCTAAAAGTTTGCCTTGATTCAAAAGAAGTAAAATTATCAATCAGTTATGTTTACTCACTTGTATGTATATATATATACACATATATATTATGCGTCGAATTAATAGGTTGTAAACTAAGATGTGGGATTGCTTGAATCCTAGCAGGAGAAGAATCCTTTCATAGCAGCCACCATGTTTAATACTGTTTATAATAAGAGTTATAAAATAATATTCCTTTAGCAATATTCACGTTTAATATTTGTTGTGCGGATAGTACTTTATGTGGTTTGAACATAATGTGTAAACAAAAATTCTCAATTTAGGAAAGAAAACATATGTATAGAAAATATGTCTAAACTGAGGCTTTACACAGGTCAAGTCCATCTTAATAAAATCGAAGAATATTATAAATAATTTAAATCTAAATCTCTTGATTTTAAATTATCATATAGAAAATTCTGAAGTTGATGTCCTATATTTAAAACTATCACTGTCTGCTGTCAGTTATGGGAAAGCGTTCCTTCTAACGAAGCAGAAAAGAAAAACATGCAATTTAAAACTGACCTTTGGGGTGATAAATGAAACTAATTTTTATAAGTTCAAATTTAAGCATGATGGTCACAGCTGAAGGATGTTTGCGTGTTTAACATATTCGTGCAAAACTGAACAATCAAATGAGTAATATTAAAAACAAGCACGTAATTCTTCTGTTGATAAAGCCATCAACAATTTTGTATTTCTTCTACAAAAGTATTATGGTTCCTTTTTTGCAAAAGAAACTGAAACCAGCGACCTATTCGTAAACTATTGCTAATGACGTTTTCAATTAAAGTAAATAATTCTTAGATATTTCCGAAGCATATCTAAGCCATCCCAAGAGTTTACTAAAATTCATTAAAATTTTATTAATTAATAGTGCTTCTAAGTATAATAAGAAAGCAAGAGCATCTAAGTTGAAACTGATTTTGATAAAATTAATGATTCATATTGGATTAACGAAAATGTTAAACGTATTCTATAATTCCTAAAACAATATACTTATTCTCATACAAATAACTCTTCATTCAGTGGAATTTAGCACTCTGTATACTACAGCACTTGATAAGGACTAAACTGAACTTTTTAAAAACTACTTGATAAGTATTTTTAAATCAGCGTTTAAAATTGATATAGGGTAAAGTTATGTAATTAGATACGGTTAATATAATATTACAATTCTACATTAAAATAAGTTTCCGAGGAACATACATTAAACAATAAATAGTTGATAAACTTACAAAATGAAGTACCATGTTAAAATACAATGCTTTATTAACTAGCAAACTTTCCAGCTCTTTAAATCAGCTATTTTCCTGGTGAAATTACTAAAAAAAATGCTTAAAATAAAATAGAAATAAGAAACATAGGACCAGAAAACGGATTCAAGAGAAATACAGGATGTTACATATGAGACTCTTTAATCCTACCGACAAACAGCTCTATTATAATCTAATTATAAACATGTAAAGTTGAATGGACTATGACGTGGTAGAATTTTTATATTGTTACTTTTTTGAGATCTAATTATCATTTAATTTATTCCTTTTTATATTGTTTTAAATTGTGTACTTACTAATTGTACATGCATTAACTGAGTTCCTTTCCTTATGTTTAACAAATTTGTGAATTTACGTATAGCGTGCTGACACACTTAATCGATAATCAGGTCTATACAATAATGTTGATGTTCGCCTTAACGACAATATATGTAAGACCTCGTGATTTTCTCACACGATTTAATTAAATTTGTAATTTTTTTTTCAGTTAGTGTCGAAATTCCATCATTCAAGACCTGAAAAACTTGAGGGCTAATAAAACCTTACATTTTAACGCGGTATTTCAGCTTGTAAGTTATTTTATGTTAATACATCCACGTTTATGTAACATGAAAATAATATTGTTAAGAAATTGTTTGATAATTCACAACATTCCTTTGGTTGGGTGGTTCGATTTTGATGCCATATTCATTTTCTAAATGTTGTTGACACTGTTTGATTACATTTTTAACTTGCAGTTAATTTTACTCACTTTTTTCAGTTTAACTGTAGTTACGTACAAATTATTTAATAGTGCTTGTTGCCGCTTGTTTGTGCAATAGAAATTTAGAAATATAAAATATTTTAGTACTTCTCATTTCTATACATTATAACTTTCGTTGATGGACGTCGTTCACTGAGTTTACCGATGGTCGTTGGTTCAAAAAAACCAAGATATTTTGATTTTTCATAAATGTCATGTTTGTTATTTACTGGATAAGAATGTTTCTTGTTCAAACCTCAACATATTAAAAATCCATATTCTAGCATTATCCTTTTAAAATGCCCATCTAAAATTTGAAAATAAAATATAATTTACTTTAAACTTGAATTAATATTCTGTACAACAACTAATTATATTTGATACTACTGCATTGCTCAGTGAATTGAATTGAAATTATTAGACCTTTTTCATCTATTATATATGCGTATGTGTGTTTGTTTACATGTATTATCCAATAATGTATTAACACCAGAAACACAGTTTTTAAACGCATATATATATATATACATATATCTTCCAAAGAAGCAAACCAGAAGAAACATAGAATATATTTTGAAATTATGAAACTTAATTGTTCTCTGACCGTTATATGAGAGAAAAGTAAAGCATTTTGTATCATTATTTATATTTTTACTTGTTATTTTTCACACCAATAACTCTGGTTAAAACTTATTCTTTTAATGGTAATTATTTTATGCGATACAATTAATCTTTGGAACCTCTGCAATCTTCATCAGAGAATATTTAGTCAATATGTATGTTGTGTTTTATTTTTATCCTTTCACTTGATAATGCATGATTACAGTGTATTCACTATAATGGTGCCCTAGTTTGGTGGTTGAAGCTACTGCTGTGCTTCGTACAAAAAAATTCTGTATCATTAGTGCTGTCTATAAAAGTTGTTCTGGAAGAATTTACTTGAATAATGCTGTCTATAAAATTTCGGAAGAAATTTAGATCAGTAGAACTGTCTTTGAATGTTGAAAATAAATTTAGATGACTAGTGAAAGAAACTTATTTCAGAAGTTACTTTATGTGTAATTTGGGAAGTAATAGCATCGGTTGTACTGTAAATGAAATATCGGAAGGCATTTACACCAACATTACTACATGCACAGATGTAAAACTTAGAAAGAAATTTACATCTATGAATGTTAGGAAGAAATTAATATCAAAGACTACTGTCTACTAAATTTGGGAAGAAACTTGCATCATTAGTACTGTAAAAGAAATTTCGGAACACATTTAGACAAATAGAACTGTAGATGAATGTACCCCGCTGACACACGGGGTTCGATTCTCCACGGTGGACACAGTAAATAACCAAACGTGGCTTGGCTCTACAACACACAACTAAACAAACTACAAATAAAATTTGTTGAGAAGTGTTGGGTACGAGATTTGGGAAGCTAGTGTCGAAATTCCACCATTAAAAACCTGAAAACTTGTAGGTTAATAAAACCTTACATTTTAACGTGGTGCTTCAGCCCGTAAGTTTATCTTTACGTTAATACATCCATGTTTAAGTAACATTAAAATAATATTGTTAATAAATTGTTTGATAATTCACAACTAAACGATTAATTAAAAAACTCCTTAAACTAATGTAAAATGTACACATTAGGCTTAGGCATAAAACACAAAAGAGTCTATTACAGTCTCATTTATATCAGAGACCTGTCTTATTTCTTTAAAACTAATGATTATTTAGAACCTTAAGAAATAAAATGCTGAGCAAGAAATTGAGATAAGGTCCAGTGTGGCCAATAATGATATAAAACAACACACAAAAAAAACAACAACTGAAAATACTGCTGTTTTTATTGGAGTTTAATATCGTTTATAAGTTGCTGTTCGAATATTATTACTTGCTGAACTAATCTAAACATATATCTCACTAGTCTAGTCTTTCAGCTTCATCAACACTTCTTACAACTTGATCGAATTTCAAGTCATCTTCATACTTTACTAAGCGTTACCTCCCAGTGGCACAGCGGTATGTCTGCGGACTTACAACGCTAGAAACCGGGTTTCGATACCCGTGGTGGGTAGAGCACAGGTAGCCCATTGTGTAGCTTTGTGCTTAACTTCAAACAAACAAATACTAAGCGCTTCTTCTTTTACAACCCTATCGGATTATTATCGTGAAAATTACTTATCCCCACCTCCTTTAAAATCATTAAAATTCACACAGATAATTTAGAAAGCCAAGTACAGGGAGACTGGAAGAAATGTAGGGCGAATTCAGAAACAGTAACATTAAAAGTGAGACCACAGACGTATTTATTTATAACTAGCTGGAGTACCCTTCAGTTGGACGGGTGAAATAAAAACTCATTTGTAACAAAGGATACGGAATTGTGCTTCTATTTTTTTTCTTAGCATAATAAACATCAAGATGCAATAAAAATACATAAAGGTACCAATACTGAAAATAAAGACATATTTTTTTCAAGAATTCTATCAGTATCAAATCAGATACCCCCTCATGCCGTCCTGTATCACTGTGTCAAGTTTGGTGCTGGTTGATCAAGAAGTGTGGAAACGTATAAGGAACGGATACACACACATATTGACGTTTATTTATATAGATGTTCTACATAGGGCGACAAAATCTCCATGATTTCACTGCACTGCAAAGGATACCTACAGTTTATCAAGTTCTTTCACAGAAAATGCATTGTATTCGTACATTGAATAGGTGTGAGAACATTTTCAGAGTTCTCATGTGTTAGACAAGACTAGCCCGCTTCTTATCTTCAGTCTTTTAGATTCCAATAAATCAACAGATTTGTTTTATATTTTTATCATGCAGCATAAGCACATTAAAATTTAGAAGTATCGATAAAGAGCTCAGAAAGAAAATATACCTTCTATAACATGATTTTATATTATAGGTGTAATCTGATAGTTTGGGTCTCAATAATGATGAATATGTCATGGCATAAAACCTTTACATTTCTTTGTTTGCTTGTTATTAAGTACAAAGCTACGCAATAGGCTATCTGTGCTCTGCCCACCGCGGTTATCGAAACCTAAAGTTTAGCATTATAAACTGTGAGATTTATCGCCGAGCCACCGGGGGGACATAAAGCAGGTATTTATTTATAGAATTTTCATTGCATAACTGAGCTATTTTACATTTTCGTGTTTTATGCAAGTAGCAAATTTGTTTCCATTCTAATAACAAAAAGCCTTTTGCATAAACACTTGACAGTCATTATCGTTTTCAAAATAAATATCTCCAAATATTTAAATATTAGCAATCTTGTATACAGAAGTATCCTTGTTTAATAAAACCATTGTAAAAGTATTTACACCATAAAACTGGGAAAAAATAAAAACGGCTTATCGGGATGTTATTCAAGACGTCCCCCCCCCCTCACAGCGGTATTTAAGCGGACTTACAACGCTAGAAACCGGGTTTCGATACCCGAAGTGGGCAGAACACAGATAGTTCATTGTGCAGCTTTGTACTTAACTACAAACAAACAAGTTATTCAAGACGAGACAGTTATGAATGACGAAATATTAATATTAAAATTACATTACACTTATCTAACAAACCCAGAAAAAGTAGCTTGAAAAAAACACACACCTAAGTCTGACTAATAAAATATAAACAGTTTAATTATGAGCTGTTTTTTCGGCAAAGAGCTATATGTGCTAATTGAAAACTCGAGCAGTTCGTAAATTGCTTGCAAGTAACAAAGTATAATGAATTGGACGCCTGCAGCGACCGGTTAAACTATATAAGTAAAATATATACACTTACAATTATGAGATGCTCCTGTATAAAAAGTGCCTATAGATGATGACCATTAAAAACAGTTCATAAGAGCAAACACGTGCCAGTGGGTGCCATCTTCGACGTGCCCCTACTTGGCACGTGCGTGAATAACGGCCCACCACCTGGCCGCTTGACAGTTACTAGACTTAACAAAAGAACTGAAGGTTATGCTCGAGGAGGGGGGGAGGCAAGCGTTCGCCTAAGTTGATGTGCAGAATGACTCTTCACTGTGTCAGGGGGCGGGTGGGATGACAGCCACATTTCTGTGGGAACAGTTTAAAACCGCGCACTGTCTCGCACGTGTAGTTCAGTAACGTGCACTAAAGTTAATCTAACCAATCGCTCGAATCAGCTGTAGCAACACTAGACGGTACTGACGGCAATTACTGGGAGTTCGGTGGCTATACCGACTACACTGAATACCGATTAGGGCAACCAGACACAATAAAACCCGAAAAAATATAGCGGGCTGTTAGATTCTTCAGACATATTGTTAAAGCTGACTCTGTTCCTAGAGGTCGCTTGATTAGATCTATCTCACAGGAAATCTGGCGGTGCTCATCAGTTTTGTGATCTGAACAAGTGATGTCGTAGTCAACGAGCGCACGTTATCTAAAGTTTGACGTAGGGTTTTTAAATGATTAATACCTTGTTTCCCACGACATACGATATTTTAATCATGCCGAACATGTATTAAATAAAGCATATATTTGTAAAATATGCTTTATGTTGATATTTCAACGATCGTGAAATCACAATAACTGCTGGTAGTATATATTTTGATTACTGGAGCAAACGTCCTGTAAAAACAACCTTCAATCAGTCACTCAGCTCATAAAATATTAAGTTATGTGTGCAATATATGTCACATATTGAAAAACAAAACGTAATAAAAATAAATATTAAGTGTTTGATAAAGAATTCTCTATTAGTTGTTTGTATAAGTTATTTACACTTGACAAACTAACATTCGTCTCACAATAAAGGTTGTCATACTCAGCTGTACGTGTAACAGGTTTTGTGGCGAAACTAGAAAGCTGATGAGCCTTACACTCACAGTTAAATAATAGAACACATAAACATATTAATGTTACAAAAGCAGTATTTAACAATTTAACCTTTTCCACTGTGTCTTATTTTGGCGTGTTTGATTTCACTTGTTTATCATCACGTCCTTCTGTATTCCTTAAACGTAGATATAATATATACTTGTTATCACTTCACATGTTTGGCTTATTGTATAGTTAACTGTCTAAGAATAACGCTAATATCAGTCTGTTATGTATTCTATTATACAATGTGGCACAAAACGCAATAAATTAAAACGAAGAACAAATACGACAGATAAACAAAATGCATAATCGATATTATTTAACATTGATTAAAATGTTACTGGAAATTTTATCTTAATTATGGAATAGTGGTAGAAGGCAGGTGTTAATATGTAATGTTAATTAACATCTAAACTTTAATGCATCTGGTATTATATATATATATGTGTGTCTGTTACAGCAATAAATGAAATGTTCCAGGTACAAAGGTTAATCAGTGACCATGACTATTGACCTGAGGGATGTATCCTTCAGACTAAATGCCTGAAATAATGGAATCAATCGCCTAGAAGATTAAAGACAGCGTTGCTGAGGAAAGCTCGTAAACCATCTGCTGGGGAGAGGGAGGGGAGAATATAGAAAATGATGTAGGTAAGCGACGGGACGAGCGGCAACCATCAACATTACAGTATCTAGTATACACTAAATAAGTATAATCTGAAGCATTTAGTTCAGTTACCTTCACCCGTAGTCCTTTTGACGAGCAAATAATATCAGATAATACCACTATTTAACATGTAGATCGTGACAAGAGCATATATATATATATATTAAATACTAAAAATGATACGCTCATGATAGAAAACCAGGGTTTAAACATTTCGGAATAAATATAGAATCATCACTTCAAGTCCTCGTTTGGAGTTATAAACTCTTCTACAACATTGAGAAATTCGTTTTCTTTATACAGTAATTTAAAAACAAGAGAAATTCTTTTAGGCAGGATTAAAGTAAATTAATCTATGAGACATTTTTTCCCCTTTCTATTAGATATATTTTTGTGCGCCAGCAACACCAAGCGTGGGACGCGCGTATATCCGATACAATTTTATTACTCATCAAGATTTCTACGAGCCTACCCTCAAATTGAAATTCATTTAGGCAGGATTGAAGTAATTTAATTTATGAGACCTTGGGCGTGGTCAAATATATCAGTTGAAAGGGTTTAACCTCCTGAGCCCAAATCTGTAATCAGATCTCAAATCGGTTAAGAGATGACGCAGCTATGAGCTAAAAGTTTGTACTTGAAAAACAACAACAACTCAGAGCCATTCTATGAGCCACTATGCTGCGGCTAAAAACGAGAAAGCAAAATTACATTAAACTGGATTTGAAACACCACAGCTAATCAAAGATAACTGTCCAGTTTTAAAATTGTCACCTCTTAGACATCTGATTTAGTATAGTAGGGTTACAGAAAAGTCAAAATTTAATGTTTTTTAATAACAAGCTTCTTCTATGTAAAATGTGTGGTCACGTAGCGTACAGTAGATTTTAAAGATAAAATCTATAGAGAAACAGAAGGTCGAAACTTAAGGACCGTACATCTAGGTGAAAATTATATAAACGTTTTAATTTTTTATTCGAACTTTTTTCTTCATAAAACTAGACTTCTTTCAATAATTAAATGAATATAGTTCTAAAAAAATACAATAATTCTTTAATAATCTGGAGGAAGATACATAAAAATGCATGTGTGATTCACAGATACCAAGCTTTGAAACATTGTTATGGTTACAGTATAGTTTTATCAGCTGGTCACACTAGTTTAAACTATCCCAGTATTCAAACATTGTTTTCATTAGCAAATATATACTATAGTTACAGATACCACAACATTCAAACATTGCTTTCATCAGCGGGTATACATTGTAATTACAGATACCACAACATTTAAACATTGCTTTCATTAGCGGGTATACACTGTAATTACAGATACCACAATATTCAAACATTGCTTTCATTAGCGGGTATACATTGTAATTACACATACCACAACATTCAGACATTGCTTTCATTAGCGGGTATACACTGTAATTACAGATATCACAATATTCAAATACTGACATGCTTAAAGCGTGGTTTTATTAGTGGACACACACTATAGTGACAGATACTGAAAGGTTCAAATATTGGCGTAGTTAAACTTAGTTTTATCAGCAGGTGTCAGTGGTGGATTCAGAATTTTTTTGGGGGGTGGGGGTAGTCCCAGAAACAAATCGGCCTTTCACTTGAATCGAAGAGTGTAATTCATTAACTTTTTAAATAGGATCGGTACACACAAGATTAAATTGAAACACAAACTATATTCATTTAACTAGTTAATGAACATAACCATTTAGTACGTGTCTGTGGGTTTTCTACATATAAGATTAAGAGGTTGAACCCCAACTTATTCATCAAGTGTCACTGTCTCTATAAAGCATTCACGGAAAATATCGTCAGTGTCATCTCTCGCCTCTTGTAAAGTGTTCTTGACAATACTAACAATATCAAAAGCCGACACGATATCCTGTGTCCTTCCCGTAGTTTCCTGCTTAGATCTTTTGTGGACCTTATAAAGTGTTTTACAGTGACCAAACTAACATTTTGTGACGGCTGCGTGAAGTGTTGTAGCTTCTGAAGCAGTCTCACTATTAAAATATTTTGATGTAGGCATGCACTTCACAGAACACCTCATAAAACATCGTGCCTCTCAAAAAAACTTGTTCTGCATATTTTAATTGATTTCTCTTTTTTTAATTTATTACAGTTCTTCAATCCATTTCTCTGAATTATCATCTCTTTTCGATGAATTGCCATAAAATTGCCATATTTTCTGATACATTTATTTAGGACTAAATTCAAACAATGACCATTGCAATATGTATACGGAACTTTAGGATAGTTTTCAAAATCTTTGCTGCTATTCCATTTATTAGGTCGTCAAGAAATTAATGTCATTTTTATTAGATGAAAAAAACCGAACAACTTATATACGAAAACAAAACATTTATTAAATCAAATAGTCTCCATTCTTATCGATGATGCTTTTCCATCTTACAATCAGGTTGCTAATTAAAGAAATCACTTGGCTTTAAAGCAAAAAACATGTCGCTGTCCTCTTTAACACATTCTACATTTCATTCGTTTTCCCATCAAGATGGTTTTTCAGCGAACGAAAAAGATGGTGGTTTGATGGTACTATATCTTGAGAATATGGTGGTTGGGGGAGAACTTTCCAACCCAACTCCATAATCTTGTGTTGCGTCAAAGGTACCACATGTGGACGTGCATTGTGTGGAGAAGAAGAACACCTTTCCGATTGACGAGTGAAGGGGGTTTCTG